TCAGAAGATGTGACAGAATATAAAACAATCAAAGTATAAAACTGTTCATTTTACAGAGTACTGAATATAAACATCTGTTTATGTTTCTGCAGAAGTTTTACAGTAATGCTTTAACACTGGTGGATCTAAACACTCAAACAACATCTGATCTGGTTATACATCATAGAGGTTTGATATTTTGCAGATATTTAACTAAATGCCTTAAATGCATCCCTAAATTATTCTGGATAGTTTACAATCTTAAATTAAACACTTCAGTGATGCTCAGCTCTGCAGATTCACCTCATTAAGACCTGAGCAGCTCAGGATGAAACAACTGCAAACAAGCACAGCATTACCTAATCAGGTGTAGAAAGGAAATGGAGAAAATGTTCAGATAGACACATCAAATATTCCATGATTGATAATCATTTATAAACGTCATCTAAACCATTTATAAAAGTTAAACAGATCATGTTGCTCAGCCTAACATCAGTGGGCTACATTCCTTATTATATAATCTATTCATCTTTTATAAATGGTTTAGATGTAGTGTAAAAATGAATCACACCTTCATAAACTCTCTTAATCGTTGATAAATTGTCTCTTTATCATTTATAAATGATGGTTTTGATGGTTAATGTAAAGTGTAAGCATAAACTCTTGAGGAAAAACAGTGTCAGCCTGGAACAGCTCCCTTCTGCTACAACAGCTGACTCAGAGCTGACAGTGGTTGCTTTTCTGCCAAATTATTTGCTTAGTGTCAATATAAATTTCACCTTCTGCCATTAGAGATGGGGGCCTAAGGTGATCCAGGGCCAGCTGAGATATATAGTCCCTCCATAATGTCCTGGGTCATCCCTTGTCATCCCTGGGCCTCCTCTCAGCAGGGCGAGTCCTGACCACCTCCTGAGGGAGGAGATCTGGTAGATCTGGTACAGATGACTGAGCCAACTTAGGTGACCGCCCTTTAGTTCGAGGAGAAACGGCTCTGCTACGAGCCCATCCTTGATGAATGAGAACATCACCCTATCTCTGCGGGAGGGCCCAGCTGCTCTGCTGCAGAGAAAGTTTATTTTAACCGGAGTCTAGACTCTTACCAAAACATCTAAAACTGGAAAACTAATCTGAATTGTCAGTAAGATACAGTAAGACTCTCATATAGCTATTTTCAGCAGGTGCTCTGCTTATTTGTTATTTGTTTCAGTGCCCAGATGATCCTTAAAGCTTTGTTGTCCAGCAGCTTAAATGCATCTGAAAGGGAGCTCTAAGGCAAGAAGGCACTAGCTGAGGGTCAGACAAAGACCTGTTCAACAAGGCTCCATGCTAACCAAAAAAATGAGGGCATTGATGTCGCTAGGTAGGGTTAAAGGAATAGTACACCCAAAACATGATTAGCCTTCATTTTCTACTCACCCCCATGCTGAACAACACTCTGGAGTACTTTTTTGATATCTCAAATGCATCTGGAGATCTGGGAGGCTTCTTGCTGTCTGCTGACATTCAAATAATGGAGGTCTATGGCGCCCGAGGCAGAAAGGTCCATAAAAGTCCACAAAAAACGTGTCAATATTCCTCCATACTGCTCCTCCAATGTATTCCAAGTGTCCTGAGTGGGTAGCATCCAGAATTTACTCGAAACGAAGTCATTTAGAAGGTTTTTAGAGCATAAACAGTAGTGTATAGGATTTCCTATACACTACTGAGTAGAAAATGAAGGCTAATCATGTTTTGGGTGTACTATTCCTTTAAGCTTTGAACTCATCCTAGAAACAAGCTAGTGAAAATTTGCGTTGTATTTGTGACAACTGGTTTGAATAAAATCCATGCAGGTGTTTAAGAACTGACCTGCTGGCCAACCGAGTAATGAAATGCTGCAAAGAGGCAGGAAGAGACAGAGACTCCCAAAAATAATTCAAGTGCATATATTCATAAATCATGTATTTATGTGTGTTAGATTGCATTTTAAGCTACAGAAAATAAAGAAATGTGAGTTATGACCAGTATAGCAGCAGATATAGTGGGTCAGACCTGGCAGGAGGAAGAATTATATAGAAACCAGTGAAGCAGAACAAAGGTTCAACTCTAAAAACAGGAAGAGGTGAAGAACAAGGTGTGTTATCAAGGAGAGAAGGTCAGAAATGTTCAACTGCAAAGGATCCTCTTTGACTTTATGAAGAGTCCAATAAAACCATGAAACTTCTGATCAGGGACTCTACAGGCACCATTTCACACCACTCTAGTTACATATTTCTGTCAATGTGTAACTAGAGTTCATTTACTGTTGAGGTAGAGCTCATTGGACAAACAATGACAGAAGCAAAGTCTAGATCCAGAGCAAAAGAGTAAAAGTCAACAATATGAAGTCTGTAGGAGGGAGGGGACGGCACACATCACGTATACGCCAACAATTTTTAACCAAGGAGGAAGAAGAAGGGTGTCCTGATAAATGATTTATGCTGTTGTTTATTCAGTTCACTTAAATCAGTTTAACACTAATATCCATTTGTGGTAACAGGAATGTTTTGAAGGACTCCAGCGTTTCTATTGCCATTTCACAGTCACAAGTACAAAGCAATGAAATTATCTCTCTGTATCTAACCCATCCCCTTGGGGAGCAGTGTGGGCCATGCTCAGACACCGAGTGGTGCCTGAACTCGGAACCTCTGGATTCTGAGAGCAACGCCCTCACCATTAGGCCACCACAAGAAAGCAAGCATTAGTGTAAAGAGTCGTGGCTATAGACCCACACTGGCAGCTTATTCCCCCCAGCTGGGATACAAACCCAGGCTTCCTGTTTGCAGGATGTGTGACTTACCACTCGAGCTAGCCAGCCACCTGCTGAGTGACTCCAATGCAGACTGCCAAGAAAGGGAAAGTTCAAATAGGCTATGTGTGTATTACATGACACCAATATCTTTAATAAGAGAAAGTACAAGAACGCTTTTTGCTTCTGCATTCTTGTTTTGGTTATAACAGAAAATATTTTGGTCGCTGTTTTCCAAACTCAAGTAAAGGGGAAGATGATGATGACACTAATAATAATTAAAAGAGGAGAGAATGTTCTCTGTTGTGCTGTCTTTGTTATGACATGGGAGAGGTTCTCAGTCCTGCTCCTCCTTCCGTAGCCCTTGAAGACGTCTAACGGAAAACCACCAGTCATTTGAATCTATTGATTATAGATGAGAAAAGGGACTTTCCACTGTGGAAAGTTGAACTTTCCACCATGAAAGGTTCAAGTTTCCACTATAAAAAATCCAGAAGAAACAAGCTGTAAATGTGTGGTTATTGTTTTATAGAAGGCTCAGTCACAGCATTATACTCAAGGCTGGACCAAAGGATGAGGACAGGTAGATTCCCCCAGCAGCTGGAACTGAGCCCAGAAGAATGTGTGGACGTGCAGCTCGCACACAATGAGGCTGTAAAACCAGGATATGTGTCTGAGAAACAAAAGCTATCTTCACCAAAGCCTCTTACCTCAGTCTGCTCCATTTAGTTGTAACTGTAAACATGTATAGAACTTTAAAATTAGAATAAAATACAATAAAATCAACTTTAGTTGGGCTCCTCAAGTTCATTAAAACAAAAGTCTCCGGGGTTTTTTTTTAGCAGGTCCTGTTTTCAGTCAGTCTGCAGACTGATGGCAGGAAGGTTGATTCTGAAATGATGGACTGATTACTACAGCGACCTTCTCTGAGGGACTGTGGACTAAAAGTGTAAATCTTTAATCATCATAAAAATGTCAGAAATGCATGCTCGTGTTTCCTTTATGGCTGAAATTCAGAAACAGCTCCTCATTGATTCACATTACAGAGAAGCTGTTCATGGATCTGTTCATGATGACTTTCAATGTTTGAGGTTATGATTAAATATGATTAAAAGAGTCTCACACCTGCTGAGCCAAAAACACCTGGTCTCTGGTAACCTGCCTAATAACCTGCCAGGATGATAAGACCTGCACCAAGTCACAACCATGGCTCCTGGTTCTGTTCACACAGCTGGTCAGTTTCATTTCAGTCTCAACCATTGCAGGTGAGCTAAGAAATGAACTTCTTCACTCTGTGGTTAGACAGTAATTGTCATAGTTTTGGTTCTGTATAAGTTTTAGCTTTGAGTTTTCATTGGGTTTATTTCTATTTTGTGTTATTCTAGTTATTTTTGATTGTATTTAAGTTCTTAGTTATTTCTAATTACCATCTGTTGCCCTCTTGTGTCAGTCTCCTTTCCTCTATCTCTTTTCTAGACTTCTCTGTTCACACCTGCGCCCCATCTGCCAATTAACCTGGTCTTTGTTTCTGTCTCCTACATTAACACCTCCTGCTCAGTCGCTCTTCGCTGGTCCATCTTCATTTTTTATTCTTCATGTAGGTTTTTCTGAATTTAAGTATTTTGTTGGTTTGGATTCTGCTTCAGTTACAAACATTTTTTTATGAAATTTGCATGAAACCACCTCAGCTTCAGTCTCTGCCTTTTGGTCCTCTTCAAACCTCACCAACCTGACAATAATAATGACCGCACCCCGCACTGTGCCCTTTGATTAAAATAAAAAGAAACTTCTGGAACGATAATGAGCTTCATATCATTTTATTTAAAGCTTTTTGTGTAAAAGTGACATTTAAAAGGAACTAGCATTTATCATGACCACACACTTTGCGTATCATTAACAAGTAAATGAGAGTATATCACTCTATTTTCCATATTGTAATTCTATAAAATCCATCCGCATTTCAGACTAAAATACAACCAAACATTTAAACTGCATATAAATAAATGTTTGCAAAACCAAAATATTACTATGAGTAAAAATAAGAACACAGCATTTTCTAAATATAGTTCTACATGTTTTCATTGTCTCTCATTCCTACACTGTACTAGACGTGAAGAATAGTTTCTAAACTGCTCTTAGTATGACTTCTCCCCTGAGTGAAGTTTAAAACTAATCACCCAGAATAGGTTCATCACTTAAGCCCCTCCACCACGACAAGGTAGCAGTTCACGGAGGGGGATGAATGAGAAAAAAAAAAAAAAGGCTAATGCAGAGTCATGCTGCCTGGATGGATGCTGTTACAGAGACAGTTGTCCTGAGGTGTTTCTGCTTCATCCTGAGGAGAACATCTATAATTCCTGATCTTCTTCCATCTAATTGCAGCAACAACCATCACTGAAACTATAACAGCCATTACAACACAGGCAGCTACAACAGCTACAATAGCTGTAACAGATCCTCCACGGTTTCCACGCGTTTGCTCTTCATCCTTGTTTCCTCCATCCCTGTTCTCTCCTTCCTCCCTTCGTGAATCCAGGTCCTCTGTAAAACAGAACCAGGTGTTAGTCTGACCCATCAGGTAGGAGATGAACATAGAATATTTAATATGAGATGTTTCTACCATGAAAAACCAGGAAGCTGCTGGAGGTTCTGATCCAGAGAGAGACTCACCTAAAGGAGGAGGAGGAAGAACATCCAGGTAGACGGTGCTGACAGGTTGAATGGCTCTCTTCATGCGGTCTGTGTCTCTCTTAACATAACACTGATATGTTCCTCCATCCTCAGCCGTCACGTTCTTCAGAACCAGAGACACGTCTCCGTTCTCTCTGTCCTTCAGCTCTACTCGGCCCTCATAGCGTTGTTCTGGGATTTCTAGATCCCGGCTTTGACTCCTGAAAATCACAACATATTGTAGATGTGTTCCAGGTCTGCTCCACTCCATCAGTTCCAGAGGCATGTATCCCTCAGCCCTGCATGGCAGAGTGACCTCCCCTCCGATCGCAGCAGAGATGCTCTGACCTGCAGCAGAGAAACAACACAGAGCAGATTAATAGAGATGGACTCAGGAATTAACAGGCTGATATCAGACTGGATAACATTATTGGTTAGCTTTGTTTTAAGAAGCACATTAAAAGATGTCTTATTATCACCCTGTTGAGAAAACCCCTTTTAGAGTCAACTTTACAGAGAGGTTAGATACTGAACATGTTGTGGCTCAGCTCTCCTTAGGGCTGTGTAGATGGACAGCCAGGTGTTTTAATGGATATTAACAGGTTAACTACTAAACATTTTGTAAAGTGCATCAAGATTACATTTCTATGCTAAAAAACAATGCTGAGAATTAGAAATGCTATTTTATCAAGGACTCTAGTTTTTCGAAATTAAAAGGGGACTAAATTTTCTGAGAGCAAAGAATGAAGGAACATTAACCAAGCAAACAATATCCACACATCTGGAATAATCTTCACATAATCTCACCTTCTGCAGAGGCTGATCCCCCAGCAGCCAGGAGACAGACAAATCCCAGAAACAATACGGGCACCATGAGTTTACATTTAAAATGTAACAAAGGAGAGATGTTACTTCCTTCTATCAGCAGATTTGAGAGGATCTGGTTCAATCTGTGTTCTTATTTATGCAGTGAAGACACACCCAGGAGCCCAGGTACTGCTGGGCGGGGATGGTGGACAGGCGCCACCTCTGCCTGAAACACAGCCTGCCCATTCTGTTTTCTGTGTCTGGAAATCATAAATCACAAAATGCAATATGAAGCAGAATCAAAGTGTTGTTTTCCAAAGAAGCAAGATAATCTCATTAACAAATCTTTATTATCAAAGCAGCTTAGCTACAAGACAGGTTGAGCACAGCAGGAGCAGGGAATGAAAAATAACCCCAGAGCTCCACCTGTCTGCCTGTTCAGGAAAATTTGGATGTTTTTATTTTATTAAAGACTTTTTTCAATCTAGAAAGTAACCATTGAAATTACTAATATATTCTTCAAAGAAGTCCTGAAAAGTATTAAAATTTCCAGGGAAAATATTCAAGAATATATCCAAGCTCTTGAATGTCCTGGAAGGTTTTAGAATAAATACATGACATGGCCGTCTGAATGGCTTTCTGTCATAAATTATTCTACATCATCATGTACAGACTCTGTTCTTCAGTACTTTTACCATCTTCTCTGTGAGCGCTCCTTTAACGTAAAAACTGAACAAAGGTTTTTACTTTATTTTCTTTTTCTGAGTTACTGGGAAAGGTGGATGGTTTCTAACTAACCTCAACCATCAAAACTTGCTGAAGCTGCAGATATGATAGAACTTGAAACTGTTCAACCTCAGAGGCTGTGATAATCCTGTCTGATCTGCCTCAAAGAACCTGCATCAGGCTTTTTGAGGATGTGGTCAGAGGAGTCTGCACACATCGGATGAGTAAACAAAATGTGAACTTTGATGAACTCTGCGCTAAAGTCTCTAAAGTCATTGCTGTTCAGGAATGAACTAGACCTGCTGAGGAACATTATTCAGTGTTTGCAAAATAGAAAAAAAGCTTAAATAGATTCTAAAGCAATCTGACACATTGTGCTGTTTAGAGAATAAATAGAACATTAATAAAGTTTACCTGCAGTGCCGAACCTAAATCAGAGGGCATAGATCAAGCAATGAATCAGTGTTAAAGACTCCGTAGAGCTGTATTCATACTTTTTAAAGTACTTCTGCATTAATAGCTCTTCAATTTAAACCTTGATGAGGATAATTTTACAGTTTTCCAAAGATCAGAAGCTTACTTTTTGTCAAAATCTAATTTCTTTGAATCAGTCACATCCTCAAGCTCAGCAGAAGAGGAGGTTTTGCACCTTGTTTAAATACCTGCACCTTTTTTCATTTCAAGGTGGAGGAAAAAAATGAATTTTTAACCAGCAATGGTTCATATAGTGGAATGATAAAAGGACTAGATGATTTAGCACCTTTTTCTGCTTCTGTTTTCATGACATTCAGTAACTCATTCACTACACATTCACATTCTGTTATGTGCTAAGTTGTGTTTTAGACTTTATTATTATACTGTCTATAAATAGCAAATTACAAAAACAACTATTTTCTTCTTTGTAACTAACATGTAATTATATAAATTTATTGTTTAGATACTTAAGCTGCAAATGATCGGTAAATAAATTCCTTCTCATGTCTGTGGACCCAGAGATCTTTGTGAAAAAACCTCTGGATTCTTTACACTCTAGCTCCATCTAGTGGCCACTGTTTGTTGTTAAAATCTGGTAGAGTAAAACTAGAATTCTACTGGCAAATTCATGAACAAATATTTATGTAGAAAAGTTTAAGATGAACAACCGAAATATTTATCCACTTAGAAATTATTCGTTTAATGCAGAATCTGCATAATGCTTTGTTTTGTTCTAGTTTCCTTTTTTTATTTTTATTCCTCATTATTGTTCAGTGTGATCGTTTCGATTTTTAATGTTGTCATGTTTGCGCCATTGTACGTTTCACCACAAGAGGGGGTAGTTACACTTATAGCCAGAGCTTTTACAGCCACTAATTCACTAGTTAAATGAGTGTGCACATGAGAATCAGACTTGTGTGAATGCTTGATTATGTGGATGTCATGTTAGCAACATTTGCAGACCAGTTTCCTGGTCTCTTACATAATAGATAAAGTTGCACAAGCAGAAGAACTTATCAGCTCCCTGCAGGTCCCTGATTGGTGGAATAAAGACAGGTATTTATGACTAACATGCATGCTCTGTGGAGAACACGCTCGAGATCTATGGTTTGTAACTGTTTTATGAATTACTAATTATAGATAGATCTAATTATAATTTGTAATGTAATCTTTTGCCGCTGTAACGGCCAGGACTCCCTTGAAAAAGAGATTGTTGATCTCAATGGGACTTTTCCTGGTTAAATAAAGGAATAAATAAAAAATAAAAAATAAAGGTGAATTTTAAGAATTTTGAGTCCACTGCTTTTTCATCCACTTGGCTATCGGACACTCATAAAATGGCATAACCCCTATATAGTGCTCGATATAGGTGTTAGGGTGCACATTTGGACACTGCACAATAAGTATAATACTGCACCACATAAAATAAATTGTTGAAAAATTGCTACCATTAATAGTACTTAGAGAAGTATAAAGGAGCATTTCGATTGCTTTATATGCCCTTACAATTGGCCGATGCCTTCCTTTGCCAGAATATCAGCAATGCAGTATCATATGTCTTACTGAAACATGGCTGCTGGATTATATTTTGGACTGCAGCGTCTCTCTGTCAGGCACACAAGCAGACGGAGATTTAAAGGAGACTGGAAAACTCCATAGAGGTCGATTGACAGTGCGTTTGAACAACAAATGGTGTCATCCAGGACATCTTACACTGAAGATTTATCACTGCAACCCAGATATTGCACTGTTGGCAGTTGGTTTTCGGTCATATTATTTCATGAATTTCTGTTATTATCTATATACAGTACATTCCACCTTCCGCGATTGCATAAGGAAGCCTAAGGTGCTCCAGGGCGAGCTGAGATACATAGCCCCTCCATAATGTCCTAGGTCATCCCCTGGGCCTCCTATCCGCAGGGCGAGCCTGGAGAACCTCCTGAGGGAGGACATCTTGTAGATCTGGTACAAATGATCGAGCCACCGTAAGTGACTACCCTTTATGTCAGGGAGAAACAGCTCTGCTACGAGCCCATTCTTGATGAATGAGTGCATCACCCTATCTCTGAGGAAGGGCCCAGCTGCTCTGCTGAGAAAGTGTATTTACACAGTTTGGATTGACGATCTTGTTCTTTTGGTCATGAACCATATTTCTTGACCATAGGTGAGGGTAGGAATATAGATTGAGTTGTAAATCGAGCATTATATCCACATTATGGTGGCAACCATACTGCTTCAATCATCCCTGAAACAAATAAACAGAAAACCTTCTGTACATGTTTAAATGTGGTCTTTTCTTACCGACACTTCAGATTCATCTTCAAGTTTTAGATGTTTGGTAAGAGGCTAGTCTCCTTTAGACTCAAGGTTATTTCAACAATCCTTCTGTTTGTAAAAAAGGCTCTACTTTATGAGAGTATCCGTCTGTGTTTCTCAAGTAATTAGTGAAATTCTCTGACAAGAAAAGGCAGAAACAATGGCATGTTATGTTTTCCCTTGGAGGGATTTATAAATGCTGCTGGAATGAAATACGCCGATCTTATCATTGGGTTAATAAATGATTTAGATTTTTTATCTTTGATAACAACCTCCATCATGTTAAGGTGGCAGTTAACATATGATCCCTAAATGGCTGTCAAGATAAGAGGGTTGGACAGCAGTCAGAAGTGGAGGCCACAGCAACTTAAACCACTGTCACAACAACTGGCCAAAACGGTCCTGGTGTCAGAGGTTGGTTAAGGACCCAAATGCAGAGACCAAGAGGCAGAGTTGAGTTTTGCAGATTTAATAAGCAACGGAGGCAGAAATACAAAAAAATCCAAAAATACTGAGAACCAAAATAAGATTACAACAGGGAAAACTAACGTGGGAAGCCAGAGACGAGGGAGCATCAAAACAAAAACCAGCAATGAGTGACTGCAGCGGTGGTGTATATATTGAGGTGTGGGCAAGACAAACTAGTGGGAAGCCAAGGGGAAAGAAAAACAAGCACAAGGGGGGAAACAGAGGGTAACTAAAGAACTCAGCACTGGTAGAAATAAACTAAAAAGAGGGTATATTTTGTGGTATGAATGGCTTTTAGTTCAGAAATTGTCATCTCTGTCTATCACAATAATTATAGAGTGAAAGTTTATGTATTATTTGCTACCACTGACTATCTACTATAAATTGTTTAATTAATATTGAATTAATGCTGGTGTTAAAAAAACTCACCTGCTGCACCAGAGACTAATGAAATTATGCAAAGAAGCAGGAAGAGAGAGACTCCTAGAAATAATTAATGTGCATATAATCATAAATCATGTATTTATTTGTATTAGATTGCATTCTAAGGTACAGAAAATCAGATTTAGCATTATGGGTTAAAAAAACATCCAGAGGTTC